GTATATACGCAGTAGGTATGTTTTTTTCAGGAGCTGATATCAACTGAAGTACCATTGGTTCATTAGAACTTTATTTCATGTAGCATGCATGGAATAGAATCAAAGTCATTATTATTTTTAACTTGCATCAACTTGTTCCGCAGTATAGTTACAATTTTATATCATGAACAAATTTATGCTTCGTCCCATTGTTGGCCGATATCATAGAGCAAGTCTTAGGACTAGAAAAAGTTTCAAACTAAATTTAGCTTACAACAAAAAACACTATGCCATGTATTTTTCTGTATCAGATTTTCAGTGTAATTTAAATGATCATATCGGTAGAGTTAAATATACATATATTTATACATCATTTCTAATCCAAAGTTTCCCTAAACTTTGCTGTTTTTGCCGTTTTCATCTTATGAATTAACCTTTCATTCTAAGGTCATGTCAGTCATTATATATATATATATATATATCGAGGGAGAGAGAGAGAGTTGTTCTACCTTAATTTTTTCTTCATTTAATATCAAGCTTTTTATGAACTTGTGTTGTTTCCTTGGGTTACATCATTTAGACATAATTGTTGTGTACGTCAGAAGTCACAGTATCAAGTTCCCATTAGTTCCCAATCAGAGTTGAAAAATCTCAGTCGTCTGTAAACATCAGAAACCATGACCTCAACGGAAACCCAAACTTAATTACTCACCAAAATTTAACAAATTTGTGTAACATTGTTTATCTGCTTAAATGTTTACAAATCGCCAAAAAAAACAACAGAAAATTAGAAATCTATAAAATTATAGGATTATCAATGGACATGGATTGAAGGTAGATAATTATCGGTAAAGGGTTGTGGAAATTGTTTAGTTATAATTTAGATTATGAACCGATCGATGAACAGGTAAGAAGTCTCACACTGCAACGTAACGTTCAGCCAGTGCTTCCAGGTTTCCCATGACGGTCTAACATCGATCTCAATTAAAGGGCGATGATTGACTTTTATATAGAATTATTATCATTATTATTACAAATAGTTTGTCACATACTACTAAAAACGACTACTATTTTTAGTTAATACATAAGATATAATAATATTTACATTTTAAAAGTTAATTAATCACATTCGACCACTATTCCAAATGTCCAGTCTTTTATTGTTTAAAAATAACTCCTATTTACCTAGTTACTATTCATTTTAATTCTTCAATTTATAGACTTAATCATGAAAATTAATAGAGTGATTAATTTAATGAATTAATAAACGCCAAAACAGATGTTTCCTTTGTTCATCCACGACTTCTTGATTGTATAAATGATTGGACATAGGATAAAATAAAAAAAAATTATTCCTAATGTTTCATAAATTGTTTTTTTTATTTCGTCAAAGGAAACTAAACCAAAACCCAATAAAACACATGAGGATAATTTGTCCTATAATTTTAATAAAAGAATAATTTGTTCGTTACTGAATAGAGTCACGAAAGATTTCTCAACGTTTATGTGAATAGCTATGAATTATAATATCATCTACTCACTAGTGACTGACTTCAAGAAATACTCCTGAAGTTCTAGTGAGAAGCCGTTACCAGTGGAGTTCAGCCAGGTCTGTTGTGAGATATCAGCTCACTGAAGACAATTGTATGCAGTGACGCAACTTCGTGGATTGGTTGGGGTTAGACATTACCACAATTGGATGCCGGCTCAGTGGTCTAGTTGGTTAAGCGCCTGGCGCCAGACTGATAGGTTCTGGGTTCGAATCCCGCGGGGTGCAGGATCGTGGATGCGCACTACTGAGGAGTCCCATACTAGGACGAAAAGGCCGTCCAGTGCTTCCAGGTTTTCCATAGTGGTCTAGCTTCAATCGACTCATGATTTCAATCTGTGAAATTGTAATATCAGTCAAATAAAAAAGAGGTAATAATACATTGATGAAATTGAATGAGGATTGTGCCATATCTTAAATTGTTTGAAGTTGAAAGTGTGAACCATCAGCTTGAGTATCTATGATTAGAGATTGTGATTTTGAAGAGGCTGAAAATTACCAAATTCAATCCCATTTTGGAATATCGTTTGTTTACATTTTTTTAGAAGTAATGAATAGATACAAAAATAATTATTCAGTTCCTTATAACTTTCGACGTCGTTCATAGTGAAGTGTTGTCTTCAAACATACTACTAATTACAAGTTGAACTTCATAATATTTTCTTTTTTATTCAGTTTTAGTTAAAGTCATATTTGTAAAACTATGTGACATCATAAATGAAGTTGGTTAATGAAACTTTGTTCGTAATGAAATTTAAAATGCATAACTCTATGAATTAGTTTAATCCAATTGATTTATTACATTCACTTGTAACTAAAATTATTATTCTATGTTTTAAACGTAGGGAACTTAATTTAACTTTGAATAATAAAGAATGACACTACTCACAATTAATTAATTAGTTACTAATAATAGTAGCTATATTTCTTTTAAGGAAAGATGGATACCAAGTGAATCTACATTTCTATTATATTCTTCTGACCGAGATATTCGAACTGATATCACTTATTTGTTTGTTTTTCGGTGATAAAGCCATATAGTAACAGCAAGCATGAATTAATGGTTGTTTTCTGTGTGGCTATTTGAATGTGTGTTGTACTATTAATATATATATATATAATAAACGTTTTGAAAATATCGTCAATAACTTTAAAAAGGTATTTAGTTATTCGTTGATTCTTTGTTTTCTCAATTATGAGGAACATTGATCAATCAATTATTTAAGTAATTAATTAATCATTATTAGCAAAGTGTCTGGCAGTGGAATCCAGGATGCACGTTTCGTCCTATTTGAGACTCGTCAGCTGGATGTACCTACACCTCAGAGTTGATGTTCCCTTTGGGACTCAAACCCAGTACTGTAATGAATTAATCAACTGAGTTTAGCTAGTGTATTTCGCTGGTTGAGTTTTATTCTTATAGAAACAGTACAAAACATAAATAATAAATATTGTTTATAAGAAAAGTTATATTTAGTTATTTATTGATGAAGAATCCTAAAAGTTGCTGATGCCTTAGTTCATTTTTAATGGATAATAAGGAATTTATAAATAATGTTCAATTTCAAATTAGTTAATAGTAGAAAGTAGCGTAAATTAAGAAACCAACAAAAAGAAATCAGGAGATATTGGATACCCATCTGGTCAGATATATGTGAACTTGCATGAGAACGAAGACAGAACTGTTATATCAGAACTACTAAGATATTAATTAGCTTTGTAAATAGTCGAAATTTTTAATTCGTATCCATTCACAGTCTAAATCCATTAATTCTGATGATACCCAACTTAAATTCTCTGATCCGATTCCTTTATGAAGTTATAAGTGATCATCCCTGAGGTGTTAATTTACTGCTTTCGTCTTAGCACCCGGGTAGTATCACATCCCACGCACAAATCAAGTGACTCGTGTGTATGTGTTTGTATTCGGTACCCCTTTGTACAAATATTTATATGCTCAAATAAATAAATAAATTTACTAGCAGTAAACAGACATTTGGCATTCCCAAACCTAAATTTTGAAATTGTTTATTCCATAATGAGAAATACTTTCAACCTACTCATTTTATTATCATCTATTCGTTCGTTCAAAACGCTAATAACTCTCAACTCCTACTTCAATACCGTGAAAAAACCCACTTCCATTCTTATTTTTTCTACCTCATTAATTTAGGCAAAAACATCAATTTCATCTGATGAAGATTTATGGTGTTGACTCAGTATGAAACTAAACAAAATACATTAAGTTTGTCAAATATATACGAACAAAAAATGTCTTAAAAATTTAAACTGAGTATTTTTCATTCATATAAATCATTATAAAAAGATCCTGAAATTCCGTAGATAGTGTTTACATTGAATAATTTACTGTAAAAAAAATTCCAGCCTAAATCATAATGGCATTCATTCATCGTGGTTTGGTATGTAATCTCAGACGAACAGAGGAGCTCCGATTTTGAATGCTAGGGTTTTCATTGATACAGCGTTTCTAGAAGTAATCCTCTTCTGCAACATCAGATGATGGTTTGGATGTCTGCAGTTTACAATGGAAAGGCTCAAATGATTGTGTACCAAAGACTTAGTGCACAATCTTTTGTACCTAATAAGATGATTACCGATCCTCTAGCTGCTGTTATTAGATGTGTCAATGGATCGGGGTTTTAGTATTCTTCAGTTCGAAATTATATCAAATTGAAACCACTGACAATCTCTGTGCGTCGGTAGTTCAGATTTTGAACAAAAACTGTAAGTAGTAGCCTAAACTCTATTAAAAGTGTGAATTTTTAGCCATACAAAAACTTTTGAAAGCAACAGAAGGCGAACACCGATGCTAAGGTTTCCTTTCCTATTTAACTATATTTTTTCGCTATCGGCGTTATTGTTAGGGAAGCATGAACAGTGGCTTTTCCTTTTCTATTCTTTAATGAAGGTAACATGAATGCGTCAACACCACAATTTGAAGTATCAGCCGCTACAATGGTTAACAACGTGGGGTTGCAATGTCCCAGTAACATTTCGGAGCTCATTAACGATTTGAGTTTACAAATTGTTGATTCATATTCATTAAAAAAATCATCCTACACCAATTGGTAAGCACTTGTGATGACAACAAAGTACTAGTTTTACCGTAAGTGAGATCATAATCATGTGATAATAAATTGAACTTGACTGCTGATTTATTTGGAATCCACTAGTTGAATGACATATTTGGCATAAGAGATTGAAGCCTAAAATGAAATCCAGAGTTTACAAGAAGAATCATTTTATACACTTCGTATATATTTCATAATTCATAGTTAGAATTATCACAGAAACAGATATGAACATCGATATTTACCCACAAACTGATAACCTTCTGGACCCACAACTTATATTCAGTCATCGTATACGTGTTAAGGTGAAGCTTTACTTGCAGTTAAAATTAACAGTTTTAAAACTTAATGTCTTGAACTGTTTTTTTTACATAATTTAGGTTTGTTGTTATCTGTCAAACTACAGTTACATACTGTAGACTTACATCCAACAATTCTTGCAGATGGGAGCATAATTCGTCATAGAACTAAACGATGGGCCTTTTATGAAATACATAAATGTGGTCGTATTAAAGGATATAGTTGTTTAGAACATCGTCATTGTTATGAACGTTATCTACGTCATGATATGGTTTGTTTTGAAGTTTATCCATGTTTAAGTTCATGTATATTTATTGCTCAGGTAAGAACTAATAATTCGATTAATTATTAATACTGTTTACACGCTTTTCGAATGTCTATTTTAATGTGACTAACAAAGAACAGATTAAGCATTAATGTCCAACAACCTGATGCTTATTAGTGCAAATGAAAATATCATATCAGAAACTTGTTAATGGTCTAATTGTTAGGCGCTTGTCAGATGATCTGATGGTTTCAGGTTCAATCCTGGTAGAACCGATGGTGTACACTTCCGAAAAGTCTCATTCTAGGATAAAGCATCTGTCCAGCGCCTCCTAGTTTCCAGTCATTATCTAAACAATGTCAGTCCGTGATGCAAACTATGAAGAATTTCAAAGAACAGAACACATTATGTAAGAAGACGTCATTTGCGCCAGACGTTTCATTGGCATATTAGACAATAATTTGTTCATCAATTTACTCTATCAATAAGACACTTGAGAAAAAAAAGTTTTACAATGAATACGTTATTAAATTCTAGATATTGCTTATTGGACTACTGTATCATATTATCAATATCTATTCTGAACTACTATTATTTTGTAAGCACATTATTAAAGTTTAATCCAGATCTTAGTATTGACTGCATCTTGTTCAACATAAGGTGATTCAGATAATCTAATACTAAAAATTTGTTATTAAATAAGAAAATGTCTTAAAGATTTATTATAGCAAAACCTAAGTCATTCACGACTGGATCAACAGATTAATTGTGACTAGCAGTAAAATCAAGAACGCTCTATACTGAGGCAATCTCCGCAGGATCTACATTTATCAATGATGGCTAAGTAAAACTCTGTACTGAGTATCAACAACGGGATAATTTAAAATCTTTATAAGTAATAACATGACGGAATGACTTACAATATAATTTCCAACACATTTGTTTGTTTAACCTTAATTTGAATTTTTGTTATTGTTTAATAAAATTCATTATTATCAAGTAGTATAAAACATATTCCTTGAAAAAAAGATACTAACTATTGTTCTTTCATATTTGAGCTCGAAGAGACTCTCATTTATGGGCGACCTTTGAACGAATCTTAAGTGACCTTGAGAAATATTAGCCAACCAGAAAACAGTATAGAGTAAAAATGTGCTATACAAAACCAATGAAACAAAGTGGATACACTTCTTATACATGGTTCAAAAACTTTTCAAGGTTAGAAAGAGGTTCAGAGGTCCTAAAATCTTAATGCATGCAGTAGAGAAAATCATCCATATGGCTACAAAATAGTCAACCTCTGGAGTCATGATAAAGTCTCAAATACTCTTTCAGCCTCGACCACATAGCTTCAATATTGTTTATATGCACACCGGTTGATGAGTGCACCAAATGCTACTTGTGGATAACGACACGGTGCAAAGAACCAAACCTATGTAGGAGTTCGTACGCTCTCCAAACATCCTTATATATTGTAGTACCTGTCTTCAACCAGTGTTACTGGTGCTTTTATTATACATTTCGCAATAATTGTCGTAATTTGCCTTAGGAATTATATATGGGGTTTTCATCACGAACTGACATCAGCTATAATGCCAGAAATTTATTTAGCCTAATGGATGAAAGGCTTTCGCGTTAAAATCCGAGATCTGTTTTCTTATACCTGATTGATTCGTCCACAAATTATAGTCTCGCCGTTTTATTTGTTATAGCTGCTCAATTATCACATTTTGTTCAAAATTCCCCGTGAGCCATTCGTACGTTAGCATTAGGCACTGAAGTTGGCGCCGTAACCTTTAAATCTCTAAAACGCCTCTGATTGCCTCGTCCATAAATTAGAGTCTCGCCTTGAACTCTTTTTTAAAAAAATATCGAATTTTTTTTGTTTTACAGCTTCACGATGCTGAAAAATTAAATGAACAAATTAAAAAATTATTATTAGACGGTATACCAGTCAATAATCATAACGATCCGATTAATTATGTACGAGAACAAACGGCAAAATTATTGAAGGAATTAAATTTAACTTTACCATTGCATAATCAACCAAAAGTCTCAGTGCTATCATCACCATCACCACCACCATCATCATCATCAGCAGCAGCATGATCATTTTCGGAATCGTCTAATATGAATTAACCCAGGAGTTTCACTACATTACAGGTCAAAATATTATAATGATAATTTAGAGAAGAAAACAAGATCAAATTATTATTATATCTTTTCTGTTTTGT